TAGTCCATCAGAATTTGTTATACCTCTGGCCAAATATGTAAAAACCGTTTATCATACTCGAGTCTCTGTTGGTATGCGCTTCAGGATGCTGTTCGAAACAGAAGAATCTAGCATTCGTCGGTATGTATCCATACAACTTATGCAGAATTTTACTTGCTTTACCATTATTTGTTTGTAGAGAGATTCATTTAACATCCTAGGTTTGTACGTTGACTTCCAATAATTTTTTTTTCTTTTCTTTTCTATGTAATAATGAACTATCATCCATCTTGTGAGCTAAAGAAATATCTGAAAACCTCTTCAATAGTTTTAAGATAAGGAAGATGGTGTTAAATTGACTTCAATATACAAACCGAGATAGCATGGCCCCCAAGTTCAATGTATCTGTCAGGGAGTCGATATTATGTATTTTCCATGGTTCCGTATATGCATATTTCCTCCTCCCTTATCAGTTCCTTCTCTTACTACAAGCTGTACACATTTGAATCAGAATTCTAATTATATGCTTGGTTCCAGCTATATGGGTACAATAACTGGCATAAGTGACTTTGATCCTGTTCGATGGCCAAATTCACATTGGCTTTCTGTGAAGGTATGCTATATGTCCCAAACTTCCTACTTATTCTTTGTTTAACAGAGGCAATATATATGGTCTCCCATTCCACATTGCTTCAAGAGTGACTGAATTGAAACTTTGAAACCCCATCTGTTTTCAAAGATGTCCATGTTAAACTTAACTCTCACCTTGTTGATGCAGGTTGGTTGGGATGAATCTACAGGTGAAAGGCAGCCTAGGGTCTCCCTATGGGAAATTGAGCCTTTAACAACGTTCCCCATGTATCCATCACCATTTCCCATGAGACTAAAGCGACCATGGCCTCCAGGACTCCACTCATTCAGTGGTATGAAGTTGAATTTTCTGATTGTCTCCCATTCTATCCATACTCTTCCAAACATTTCACTTTGCTTTTACAACCTCTTCTTATCGCACGCCATTCAGCATAAAAATTCAAAATCACTAGTGCTGTAACTACTATTGTTTGTTGCTCTTAGGGATGAAGAATGATGATATGGGGATAAATTCCTCTCTTATGCGGCTCCATGGAGATATTGGGGACCATGGAATGCAATCTCTCAACTTTCAAGGAATGGGAGTCACGCCTTGGATGCAGCCAACGTTTGATACTTCAACGCTTGGCATGCGAACTGACATGTACCAAGCTATGGCTACTGCCGCTGCTCTTCAGGAGATGAGGGTTATTGATTCTTCGAAACAGAATCTCTCATCACTCTTCCAGTTCCAGCAACCCCCGGCTGATGGTAGCAGGTATGCAGGTTTGGTGCAACCTCAGACCATGCAGCAGTCTCAGTCCCCTTCTCCATTTCTTCAAATCTTTCAAGGAAGCCAGCCTCAGGCACCTCTACAACAGCAGACTCATCTTCTTCAGCAGCAATTGCAGCATCAAAACTCTTTCAGTAATCTACAGCTCCAACAGCAGCAATTAATTGATCTTCAGCAGGTTTCAGGTGCTGTACCTGTCCCATCTCGATTGGCTTCAAGCTCTCAAGCCCAGCCTTCAGAGCTGCAATCCATTTCGTCCATGCACCTGCAAAACTTTATGGATTCAAATGTCAAACCTGTCACTAGCAATATTTGTTCTCCTCTTCACAGTTTATTGGGTCTAGTCTCCCAGGTTGAGGCACCCAACCTTCTTAAAGTGCCTAGTTCGAGCGACTTAATATCTTCTAGTGTTTGGCCCGCAAAGAGGGTTGCCATTGATCCTCTTTTCCATTTGGGAATATCTAAGGGTATATCATCCCAGGTGGATCAGTTGGCACCGCCCAACACTAACATATCTCAAAATGCTGGTTCTTTGCCCCAGTTTCCTGGTAGGGAGTGCATTATGGACCAAGGAAACAATGATCCCCAAAATCACCTTCTATTTAGATTTAATATAGATTCCTCATCCCCTCTTATGCAGAATGAGATGTCGAATCTTAGGGGAGTTGGTAGTGATAGCGATAATCCAACTATAGCGTTGGCCTCTTCCAACTACTTGAGTAGCATTGGCACTGATCATTCAATTGACCCTGCAGTAACTTCTTCCAGTTGTATCGACGAGTCGGGTGTCCTGCAGTCGTCCAAAAGCATGGGGCAACCAGACCCATCTTCCAAAACCTTTGTTAAGGTAGGCCGCCTTAATTACCCCATTGAACCCTGTCTACAAATCAAAACGAAGAAGTATATTTCCCCGTACCAGTTTGTTTGATTTTTGGGGGAATTGGTAGGATTTCCGAATGCACTATTTTACATTCCACAATTTTTTAATTTTTTTTCATTTGTATTTTCTTTTTTCAACAGGTTTACAAGTCAGGGTCCTTTGGAAGGTCACTAGACATCACCAAGTTCAGCAGCTATCATGAGCTGCGCAGTGAACTTGCACTGATGTTTGGCCTTGAAGGCCAATTGGAGGACCCTTTGAGATCAGGCTGGCAGCTTGTATTTGTGGACCGAGAGAACGATGTTCTTCTCCTTGGTGATGACCCCTGGCTGTGAGTTTTTCCATCTTAAAAATCTGTTCATGAAATTTTTGTGTTTATAGCATGTGCTTGTTTGTGGTCTCCAAGTCTGGATCATTGGACATGAAACTATCCTTACAAGTTCTCGTGGATCTCCTTTCTAGCATTAGAGGCGTAACTTGGGTAACCAAGGCCCTTAGTCTTGTCTTATTTAACTTGTTAAGTTACATCAGCATCAGGATGAAATGCCTCTTCCACTGTATTCCCTTATCATGCAAATAAAGTGCTTTCTGTTAAATTATACTTGTTTTAAGATTCATGGTTGTTATTTTGTATTTCTTGTTATTGCTACGTGAAAAAATTATATTGTTCAAGGAGGTCTCATTTTGCAGATTCAGTTAGGCTACTTACCATATTACACAATTGTTACTGCCTGTTCACATCTGATGCATACCGTGTTTATTATATTCCCAGGGAATTTGTAAACAATGTATGGTGTATCAAGATACTGTCGCCACTAGAGGTGCAAGAGATGGGAGAACGAGGCTTGGAATTTCTAAATTCTGTCCCAGTTCAGAGGCTTCCAGGCAGCAGCTGTGACAGCTACGCAAGCCGGCAAGAGTCCAGGAATATGAATACCAGGATACCATCTGTTGGGACTCTTGATTTTTAAAGTAGTTTTACCAGTTAAGTCACTAGTATTGTTAGCATTTCTGCCCGAAACTTTTGGGGGAATAGAATTTCTTGCTTAAGTCATTACATGTAAGCTGTACTGCTAATAATTATAGCATAACATCCTCCGTTTCTCCGTTCACCTGAAATACCTAAACACGCGTATTTAAGGACAATAGTGTCTGTGAATTAGCTGTAGCTTTTACGATGTTACAGTATATTTAGAGCTCAAGATATGTTAAACTTGATATTGGTGATGTATTATGTCAATTCAAAAGCTATATGTATGGCCCCTTTTCATTAGTTCAAATTACTTGGTCTTGTATTGACCGTTAGAATTGTCAAAACCGAATATTCGTCAGGTTTTTACTGAGGGTGATGGGGTGTGAGTGCAAACCAGCAAGAAGAGCACCAATTTAAGGTAGGGCAAGAGTTCCAACAACCTTAAAAGTTCAAATTCCCTTTTACATAGTGGAGTTTTCCATTCTTTTGCAGAAAATGATAGCTTTTTTGGTTCAATGCCCGCTTAGCAGTGGATTTATTTCTGGTAGGGGCGTACAAAAGTACCGGATCCAACTGGCCTGTTTGGTTCTGAAGTGTTTAGGATTTAATTGGTTCGGTTACTAGAACCAAGAATCGGCCAGCTGGTTGACCAGTTCGCTTCTTGGTTCCAGTACTCGGAATTGAAAACCCGAAATGAACTATAGATTTTTAACGTGCTTATTTCAAACAGAAAAATATAAATCTTTCATTACCATTACGGATTTTTTAAAGCACCAAATAATCAGCCTTTTATCGAAATAAGTTATCGCGAACACGAACTAGATGCAATCAATCCAATTTTCCTCCGAAGTAAAGCTACAATTGGTGCTAAAACATGAGTTTAAGTCGTACTAATGTGATATTAAATGAAAGATATTATTAAATAAATAACTTAATTCTATCTTTCATTGAGTTTATCACTCAACGCCACCTAAACTGGTATTGTAACACCAATGGTGTTAGATAGCATTATTCCAAACAAAATAGATGCATTAGGAGGTAAACTAGAATCATCTTGCTTTGCACAATCCGGAAGGGAATCACACTCGATTCCGGTACTTCGTTTTGGAACCGACCAAAACTAAGTTTGAAATCAATTTTTCCATTGATATTCGGTTTGGTTCAGTTATTTTCAGAATCAATTGTGCCTACTCCTAATTTATAGTTTTAGCACCCGCACAATGTCTCAAAGCCTAATGAGTTATTTGGGGATCATATTAGGATAGTTGTACTTGGGCACTTTACAAGTATGAATAATTGTGGCATCATCAAGTTATCTTGATGGTTGGAACTTACACACACATCTTTGAATAAACTCTAGACAAATTAGCTCCTTGAAATCTGTCTAGACAAGGAAAAATGTTTTAACATGTGCACATTTATAGAATTTCGGATCAGTATCCTACTTATTTCTGAGTAAAATTTATTACATTTTAGCTTTTCTTGAGCAGATTTGATGATATCCCCAAATTTTCCTGTTATTCTCATTTTTATAGTGCAAATTGGAATTATTTGGCGCTGGATGAAGAGGGCTTCAAGATCCAAATAAGAAAACTATTGTTTCCAGGGAATCAAGATTTACCAAAAATCAACAGTAAAAAAAGATGATTTTACATCGCTGTACCGATGATATGTATGATTACATATTCTTCACTCCATCTAAAGGCTACTTCTAATTTTTCAATAAATACAGATGGATAACAAACAGGATCAACAATCCATCATTGTTGTACGACTCACATCTTGTTTGTGCAAATTTCTTTATATTATAACCAATCACAAGAACTAAAAGGGGAGCATGGAATTCGACCTGTTTGGCGAATGTACTCTACATTTGCAGCAGTTTTTTCAGCCTGGCGATTTTTTCTAGCTTCTGCAGCAGCACGCATTTCCTCTGATTTTTGCGTTGCCATACCGATCTTCTTCACCATCTTTGCTTGAGCTTGTGCTCTCATTTGCTCAATTTTGGCCTGAAAACGAATTTTTGTTTACATCTTCAATACCGAGTGCTCCTTTCCATGTTAGTTAAAACATGCAAACACTTCAAAGAGAAATGGACGTGCAGAAAAGCAAAGCTAAACCAAGACTTTAGTAAGCACACAATATTAAGCAACCAACTTGAAGATGAGAGATGCACACTTAGTTTGATCTACTCAATGAAGTTCTGAAAAGTATAAATAAATTTGAGTATTAACGAACCAAGTACATGAATAACAGTATATTTTGCCGCTTTGGCAGAACTAAAGAACGTGCAATAAGGCTTTTCACAGACAGCGAAACTCAAAATTTATGAGGTAGCATAAGGGTGCTTTATAAACAGTGATTCTTAAATAATTTGTAGTTGGCACAAGAATCCACAAAATCTCAATATGGTAAGCAAGCTCATTTAAGTACTCGTGATCTAGTTAGACATGGTTTGGCAGTCCGATGCCAAGGATACAACATAAAAGAAAAAAACGTGAAATCTCCTATGAAAACCCAGTTCATCAATTTACATGTATCAAGTTAGAAATAGACCGTGAAAAGTGATGTTGATCAAACTATGAACATGGCAGCAAGAAATATGAAAATTTCATAGAATCTAACACAATTTTATGTTAAATGCTATAATATATATATTTTTTAACCTTTTATGCTCATGGTCTTATCAGTCAAGTGGGAGTAAATTGGCTCAACTCTTCTTGAGAGAATTGGCCATCACCACGTTAATTTAAAATCTAGTGCATGTGCATGTTTTCTTTTTCTTGTTCTGTATAAATTGTAAATTCATTTCTTACTAGTATCTCCTTTTTTTCTTTCCTTTTTTTAGGGGGGAACTGCAACAATCCATTTAGAATTGCCCTCTAAATGAACAAATATTTGGCTAAAAACCTATAAAATAGGAGGAACCTGGAAATTTTTGAAAAAAAAAAAAATGAAAATGAAATTCTTTGATCAATTTTTTATTGTAAAATCTCCCCTTATATATGTGTGTGTATTAGTTTTTTGAATATTTAATATTACATAAACCAAATTATACAATGTATGCCATATTTTCTTATTTTCAATGTTCCTAGGTGTTAACGTGGTCTGGGTTGAACTGGAACATCCTGGGGGTAGAGCGGGGGGTCGGTACATGATTCTTTATTATGTGAGATACAGGAAAAAGGGTTTAGATTGTCATATGTTTATTAAGTGAATTTCACCTGGAAATGGATTAAACATGAGTATTCATCTACAGTTTATCTACATAAACCTCAAACTCGAAATGAAGTTAGGCATACATTAAGATATCTATGAACAAATTGGCAGTATCCTATCATTGATTAAAATCAGTAAAATATAACTTGGGGGGTTCTATCATCCAATAAAAAATCAAGAGGTCATTGAAAGGTTTCTCAAAACTTTGGAGAATTTTTTTTTTTTTACTATGATGATGTAATATTGTATTATATTATTATAGATGCAAAAAAGATGGAGAACTTTGGTACTAGGATGATTTCAACATTCTGAATATACAGATTTGGAATACAAGGAAAAGCAATTGTACCTCTATTTTCCTCATCTCAGCTTCAAGCTTTGCCTTCTGTCGACTTTCCCATGCTTGGATTTTTATTTCTTCTCGTTTAAACCTAAAAATAGGAAATGATTCAGTCAAAGCATGGCATCCATTACTAACTTTTTACTAGCTCAAAGAATATCCAAAATAAAAATGTTCGTGTCAGACGTTAAGAGGAACCTGGCAGCATGTTTGGATTTCTCAGCTTCTTCCCATGCAGCTGCCCGGTTTTCATATTCCATCCCTCCAAGATCGTTAGAATCGATGGTTTCATTTCTAGAATTACCTTTCTCTTTCTCATCCTTACTTGCCCAAGCAGCAATATTCATCTTACCAAGTTGGACACCAAGGGCTACGATTTCTCTTCTTGTCTTGAGCTTTTGATCTTGATCAGACAATTCTGTTTTCCCTTTTTCAGCTGAAAGTTTCAATGAATTTTCAACAGAGTGCTGTATCAGGGAGAGTGCTGGCTTTCCTCTTCGAGGAGTGGATGGCATAGAAGAAGTTGGGCTACGAAAAGGGGTTGTGGAACCTACAGGAGTAGCAGTCCTTGAAGGCTCTTGACTTGGAATTGGAGTCATTTCTGTTCCCATGTCTCTCATTGAAACTGATCTTGGGGCAGGAACGCCTGCATGATTATTAAGAAGTCAACTAGGGAACTGGTCCAAAAGCTCAGAATTATTTATTTCTTTCTTACTATACTTATATTACTCCATCAATCCACAACCAAATTGTAGGGCAATCAAGTGTCAGAAGCTATCTAAGAACAACTGCAAGAAAATATCTGTATTAAAAATTTCAACAATTTTGCCTCATCCAGAGATTGAAAGTAAAACTAGGACCGCAGGAGACCTCATTTCTAGTTGACCCTGTTTGCTCTAATGACATGGATGAGGCTTGATACTCCCAAAAAATTAAATACAATTGTTACGCAATTGTTTGGGGCCAGTAAAACAGTATCCAGATAAAATTGGCAACATTTACCAGTGTTACAGATTTTTATGGACATAAATCTAAATGGATTTCACTCTATTTTGCAAAAGAGTATTACATCAGAGGAACTTCAACATCTTGCATTTTTTATTTGGCCAAGCCTCGAGTATTGAAGCCAAGTGAAAAGGTGTGTTTGACAAACTGAGCCTAAAATATAATTTAGGGATGATGAAAGCATTTAATCACCTGTAGTATCTTCTGTCATGGTCTTTGGGCAAGATGAACCCATGGTTTCCACCTCCATCAAATCCTTGCTTTCAGGGCACAAATCGATTAATGCATTCACTCCATTTCCTTGACCTGAAATGGGTTGAGCTTCTTGAGAAGCAAAAGCAGACTTCCATGCCCCTGTCTGTAATGCAGGCTGACAGAAATCAACACGCTCAATAGATAACTTATTTTCAGAACTAGTGGACTCTGGGGCAACTCTCACTATGTTAGCAGCTGATACCCGGTTCACTTGATTGTGCATGTTGGTCTTCTTCGAGTTATTAAATTGAATATTTTGCCTATTCATAATCCATTTCTCAGCATCATTCCACTTGGATGGCAAAGGCCTTGAGAATGATCTATTCGCAGGATGGTGCAGTGATCTCTCCCCTTTATGAAACTCAAAGCTTGAAGTACTGTCATAATCAAGAATCTCATCTTCATATGTCCTCATAGGTTGTAATGAACATAAATTACTGCCATTGCCCACTGAAACTAGCTGCATTTTGATGCTGCCCACATCCTCATTTTCCCTCAGCATGAGTTCCTTTGGTTGCAGAAAATTACCATCACGTTGGCTTGCAGCTAACACTGAACTACTGTATTTTATCGGTGGAACTTCTAAACCTGAAGCTGCAAATCGTAGTGCATAGACCCTAAATCAGCACTATGTTTTGTTCAATCAAAACCAACTCATTGTTCAGTTTTATAAACCCAAGTTACATCCCAATAAAAAATTAGAGATCTGTAATTAATCTTAAAGCATTTACTTCCAATTAAGCGCGGTTCAGCATAAAAAGCGCATTTTCTTGGAATGCTTCTAAGCTAATCAAAAACAGTTCAAAGGAGGCCTCAAGCCTCGTGTTGATCTGGTCCTACAGTATATACAAAAATAATAATTAATTAAAGATTTGAAGCAGATATTAATATGGGCAAAGTTATCAAACCTTCCTCCTCAAAACATCCACTTCTGGTGGCCAATAACCGGTTCTTCAAAAATTCTGAATCCTCAATCCTGGCAGGAGATGTTCTTGAAGAATTACTATTTGATCCACCCTTTTCCCTCTGATGGTGAGGTCCCATTAGCTTCATCCTCAACTTACTTGGAGATATTATACCAGTCTATATCATCAAACAACAAATTCAAAATTTAATGCAGGTTTTTCCCAAATTGAAAAACTCTAAGCACGACCCACTAAAGAAAGATTCTAACTCTACAACCAAATTAATTGTTTCGTATTAGTCTTTGAAGTTCGACTCCAATGATTCAAATGCATTTGTGTGGATATCTATGTAAATTGGATGTGCAGAACAAATCACATTCTTACCTGAACTTTGTGCACCCTCTCGTATTCCATGACACCTTTTCACACACACACAATCTTGACGAGAGAGAGAGAGAGAGAGAGAGAGAGAGAAGAGACTTGAGAAGAAGCCAAGGCTCTACGAAGACAGTTGTGCAGAGCTGAGACAAATTACGAATAAGTTTTGGTGGGAGATGTGCGATTTTTTACCGATGTTTTGATCCTTCACTCGCATATTTGACTCAGCCAAGAAGTAAAGTAACCGATGAAAAGAATTAATTTATGTCACTCATTTTAAAATAAAATATAATAATTACTTTTAAAATTACTAAGGTTTTACTTTTATTTTTGTTTTCTACTTTTAATGGAAACTATCTTAATTTATGTTTGGAAACTAATTTTTAAAAGAGTTTTCTATGCTAAAATTACTTTTAAATGAAGTTATATTAGACTCCAACTTTATCTGAAAACTCTTCTAATTATCAGAAAAACTTTCATAAAATTAGTTAAACCCCAAAAGCAGCTTTTAGATCTCAAAAGCCACTTTCTACTTTTCAAAAGCTAAGCCAAACGTGTCCTAACTTACATTCCCCTTAAACCTTGCTTTTCATGCCTAAGCAAAATTGTCAATTAGGAAATAAAATATGTGGATTTAGTAGAATATTTTTTATTTTAAATAACTCAAAACATACGTTTTCAGAAAATTTGAGAAGCCAAGCCAGTAGATCTTATCGAAGTGGCCACAAACTCATACTTCTTACGAATTAATTCATGTTTAGCTAAGAATGATAAAAATCTCACTTACACGTAAATTCTATAATAACTAATTTTTAGTTCATCAAGATTAAAAATCATAAGTTACTTATCAAGAATAACTCGTATCTCAATATTAATGAGAAATTAAAAAAAAAATTAATTAAAATTAAATTCAGCCTACTCTTGAGCCTAATCAAACATACACTTAAATTGTGTTTTGTCCCAAACTTAGTCATGACAATGGGTCGAGTCGGCTTAAACACACGAGCTCGGCTCGAGCTAACGAGCCACGTGCCGAGCCGGATCGTGGCTCGTTTGCTCGTGGGTGAACTCGTGAGCTCACGAGCCGAGCCGCGAGTCACGAGCTTTTTGATATATATATATTTACTTTTGCACTTTTTCTTTTAAAATTTTCTTTAATTTTTCACGAGCCCACGAGCCGCTCGCGAGCTCGACAAGCCGAGCCTTGCGACGAGCTACTTGCGGCTCGACTCGAGCTCGTAATTTGACGAGCCCGAGCGGAAGCTGACGAGCCGCTTGACCTGTTTGCCATCTTTACCAAAACTATATCAATTATTGTTTATTTAGTCATTGCTTGCTTTTGGACTATGCCATATGGCAGTGGACATTTTGTGTCACAATCAGGAAATTTTCTAAGTATAAATGTAATGTCTGTCCCCTCAGTAATCTGATTAGGGACACTTGCACGTACCTTTGTCTTTAATAATTATTGCAATAGTTAAGCTATAATGATACATTGTGGCCATAATTTTTGACCAAATGGCAGTCCACTTTTGCAATTTCGAATCCAAGCTGGCCTATGCTCAAAAGGCCAAAAAAAGGAGATTTAAAGAAAATGAGCTTATCCTATAACCATAAAAATACTAAAAAAGGGAAAAATGATCAAAAGTTGATGAAACATTTTACAAACTTGAAGAATCAAATCATCTTGTACTAAGCAAATCCTTTTAGTTATGCTGGAGATTAGGTTAGGGTCAATGGGTCGATATATTCCCGTGTCAAGGATCGCAACTATACTTGGCCCTTGATAATTCGTCGTGCAGTTTGCCCAACTTCTACCGGACTTTGTAAATATTAATTTAAATTGTAAATGCTTATTTCAACTGTAAAAAAATCCTGCTATTTGTAAATATTTTTTATGATTCTTCAACTCTTCAACATCTACTTATATCACTTGAATTTTTCTTACTTCAGTTATTATAGGGGTAGTTGGTATTCGAAATCTTGTCAAACTTATTGGAATTCACCCTGCACCGCCAGTTGTAATTTTCTACTTTCAATTAATCAATGAACAAGTTATATTCAATGCATTCAAAACTTCTGTTGTAAACCTTGTTTTAAAATTATCTTTTGGTCCTGAATCCATAGAGAACGGGTGGAAGGTAGTATAGTAAAGTAGACTATTGTTGCATGGTGCCCTTTTATGCTAGAAGGAAAGGGGTTCCTCGATACCGGTGTTGCGTGCTGACATAATTATTGCTCAAGATGGCTCCACGTCGCCACGAAGGGCAATATTATTGTACACGAGGGTTCCACGTTAGCCTCAAAAGGATTTCATTACATGAAAGCTTGTCCATTAGCATTTGTCATCATGGCTGTTGAAGCACTATCTAGCAAGATGTGTACAACCACAACACTTGGATAAAAAGTACAATTGGAAGCCTCGTCCAGGTGCGAAAATGAAGGTCTCCACTCAACCCAGAAAAACGTTTTGACACAATAAAATCAACCTGATTTTCCTTGCGAACAGATGTGTATACATAACAAATGTAAGAAAGCACAAAAGTCGATCAAAATATGGGAATTTGGACTTAATCAAGACTTTCAACCTAATAAGAAGTGTGTCAACGCACAAAAAAATGATAAAAAAAATCTCCATAAAAATTATCGGTAAAAAGGGTCATTAACACAGCTATAAAATGACTAAAAATTGAAGTGTTGCAAATCAAAAGGGTTAAAAAACGATGTGAAGAAAAATCTTAAAAATCCAACATTCCACTTTCTAAAAATCCACCTCAGGTCTAGGCAAAAACTAGGATTGAAACTCTTTAAAATTTTAGCATTCTCCAATGTAAGTGTGCTTTCCATCTGGAAATCTGTCGAAAAATTCTTCCTTCAAATAAAAAGTTTACCAAAAATACATCCAAAAACTTTAAAAGGGGGGAAAATCCTGCCAAATTTTCAACAGAAAATCTTATTGCCGTCAATAAAAAATAATTCTTATTTTTTGAGGTCGATAACCAGGTCACGAGAAATCAAGACTCCTACAGTCAGTCGATCCGTTTTAATTACATGCCAATGTAATGTCTGGCTCTTCAGGTATTCAATATGAATTATGCTTCTTGTACACTTGTGATTGACAACATCTTTGAGAGTCTCATGTGTTGGAAATCTGTCCATTGATGGGAAAAAGGTGTTGTTAAAATCAATATACAAATATCTGTCAACTCACGTGATGCTAAACTTGATGTAAAACATGATATACATGTAGCATGATTGATTCGATATTTGTGAGCCTTCTTTAATTTTTTTTAAGGAAAAATTAGTTTAAAAAAAATTAAAAAGAGGCCCTCTCGAATTGGAAAATGATATCTCAAACAAAGTTGTAGCCCTTTGAGTTAGATTTCCAACGTATCTTGAATCGCCTTGGGAGGTTTGGAAGCCTCAGGCGAGGCATTTTTGGTCTGGGGCGCGCGCCTCGCCTAATTTTTGGCAGATGAATAGCTCTAAGTATTTTTTACATAACTTTCTCTTTCGATATCTGATTGAGGCGATTCAAGATGCGTTGAAAATCTAACTCAAAGGGCTAAAACTTTTCTTCAAATATCATCTTCAATTCGATCTTTTACCATATCAAACATGGGTCTCAATATGAGATCAAGACTCCTACAGTCAGTCGATCTGTTTTAATTACATGTCAATGTAATGTCTGGCTCTTCAGGTATTCAATATGAATTATGCTTCTTGTACACTTGTGATTGACAACATCTTTGAGAGTCTCATGTGTCGGAAATCTGTCCATTGATGGGAAAAAGGTGTTGTTAAAATCAATATACAAATATCTGTCAACTCACGTGATGCTAAACTTGATGTAAAACATGATATACATGTAGCATGATTGATTCGATATATGTGAGCCTTCTTTAATTTTTTTTAAGGAAAAATTAGTTTTAAAAAAATTAAAAAGAGGCCTCTCGAATTGGAAAATGATATCTCAAACAAAGTTGTAGCCATTTGAGTTAGATTTCCAACACATCTTGAATCGCCTTGGGGGGTTTGGAAGCCTCAGGCGAGGCATTTTTGGTCTGGGGCGCGCGCCTCGCCTAATTTTTGGCAGATGAATAGTTCTAAGTATTTTTGACATAACTTTCTCTCTCGATATCTGATTGAGGCGATTCAAGATGCTTTGAAAAGCTAACTCAAAGGGCTACAACTTTTCTTCAAATATCATCTTCCAATTCGATCTTTTCCCATGTCAAACATGGGTCTCAATATGAGGTTGAAAACTGGTGTATAACTTTTCGATNAAAATAGGTGCATAACTTTTCGATTGGAAATTGATGTGAGATCATACTTTGACAATATTTCTTTCCTTTGACGTCTTCTTTCAACCAATTGACTCTCCAATTTTCATCGTTTTATTGGACACAACTTTTGTGTATTTGCATTTAGGTCCCCAAACTTCGTTTTCTTTCCTTTTGGCCATTGTTCGCTTATTTCTTCCAAATTACGTCATATCCATAAAATTGCCACCTAAATCAAAATATGAACGTAATGAGTACATTTTGGCACAAAATAAATGTACGAGCGCATAAAATAAGGAGGAAAAAATATACATTTTACATTCATATCACCTGCACTCCATCATTCTGACAGGAGGCAATCTGTCGAACCTTATGAAGGGGCTGAACCCATTTGGCTGAAGTCGAACCCATTTGAATAGGTTGACCTACATGAAAGAACCCTTATACAAAGGAGAGGCTGCAAGGGGGGCTAGCAAGAGATCATTGACAAAATCTTTGGTATATGATTGACGTGACAACTCACTGCTATCGTCGTCCTATTCTTTTAAGCCCCATGACAGGTTTATGGGCAACAAAATGGTATTAGTAATGAATGCTTTGATGCCTTTAACAAGAGGTCCCTGCCGCATGGATAAAGCAACATATACTTTCATCGTACAGACAAGATTCACCATATTTTACAATAAAAGGTTACACACTATGCCAATCAAAGGTAATGCAAGTTTAGACTCTCAAATCATAGTGTTGCTTTCT